CCGACGAGGCGAGGAGGCCGAAAACATCGAAAAACACAAATCAACGATTTCTGTCGCTCGGAGCCCTCTTGGGAGGCCTCTTCGGGCGTCTTGGACGCCTCTTGGGCCGCCTGGGGCGAATCTCGGGCGTCTTGGGCCCATCTTTAAGCGTGCCGGGGCTCTCCGGGGCCGTCTTGGGGGTTTCTGGGGGCCCTCTCGACATGTCCTGGGGCCTGCCTGGGCTCCGGGGGCAGCCCGGGGTGCCCCGGGGCCAGCCCGGGGCGGTTTTGAGACATTTGAGCCTGCTCACCCTTCCCGCACGCACGTGCTCCTGCAATGTAGTAGAGATGACGTCGGGCTCCAGCTTCGCCTCCCACATCTCGCTCAGCAGCGCAAGTGCCCGCTGCCACTGCTCGCCCTTCTCGCACGCGCTGATCCCAGCGTTGTAGCTGATGACGTCGGGCTCCAGCTTCGCCTCCCACATCTCGCTCAGCAGCGCAAGCGCCAGCTGCCACTGCTCGCCCTTCTTGCACGCGCTGATCCCAGCGCTGTAGCTGATGACGTTGGGCTCCAGCTTCGCCTCCCACATCTCGCTCAGCAGAGCAAGTGCCCGCTGCCACTGCTCGCCCTTCTCGCACGCGCTGATCCCAGCGCTGTAGCTGACTAGGGCTGACCCGTGGACTCCGTCCACGTCCACCAGCGTGTTCAGTGTGGGCATGTTGCTGCCTGTCGCTTCAGATCGGTTGGTGATAGTTGCTGGCTGCCGCTTGCGACGACTTTGCCTGCTTGCGCTTGTTTCACGATTGACTGCCCGCGCCTCGTGGGCTGCCTGGGAGCAGTTGGGGAGGCGCAGGGAACAGTCTTGGGCCGCTCTTGGCTCGACTTGTCGAGAATCTGAAAATCAGTCGAAAACCGTTGACATAAGAACGATTTTGGCCACCTCGGGCCGCCTGGACGACCTCGTGGGCCGCCTTCGGGGCCGTCTTCGGAACCTCCTGGGCTGCCTGCGGGCCGTCCTGGGCCTGTGTCGGGGTCCTCGTGGGCCTTCTCGGGGCCCTTGGATCCGCCGCTGAGCCATCTGGGGCCTGTCCGCAAGCATCCTTGAGGCCCCGGGGTCCGCCTGGCATGATTCTGAGTTCTTGGAGTCGCGTGACCCTGCTCGCCATTCTGGCACGCACGGCCGCCTGCATTGTAGTATAGACCAGGGCTGGCCCGTCAACTCCGTCCACGTCAAGCAGCGTTTCCAGCGTGTGTGTTGCTGCTTGCGTCTGTAGGCTGCCAGGTAGGCGTTGTTTTATTCTAGATTTCGACATTTGGCCGAAGGGTGGGGGAGGGGGGGATTCTGGGTCTGGGCCGGTGCTTAGTCGATCTGCTTCTGCCAGTCGCGCATGCAGACTGGGGGGAGGGGTCCTGACAAGCCGCCAAAAGCAGCCGCCCAAAGCAGCCAAGATCTGGTCTATGGGGGGGAGCGGGGGGGCGGGGGCCCGCCCCTATCGGCGAAACAAGAAATAGAAAAACGGCGGCTTGCCGCGAGTGCTGCATGCTAACAGTTTGCCTGCTTGTACTGGCTTGTTGCGTGCTTGCCGATTGCTCGCTTGCCGACTTGCTGGCTTGCTGGCCTGCTTGCCGGCACGCTTGCTTGCCGCTCGCCTTCTGGCTGGCTGGCTGGCTGCTGCTTGCTGCTGCTGCTCGCTGTGCCTGCTTGCCGTGCCTGCTTGCTGTGCCTGCTTGGGCTCTCCTGGCCTGGACCTCGGCATCTTCCGAGGCTCCTTGGGGGCCACCTCGGAGCCAGGCTTCTGGGGAGCGCAGGGGGGGGGGCTGGCGGAGGGCGCGTCTCGGGCCGGCCTGGGGCGATCTTGGGCCGCCTGGGGGCGGCATCAGGGCCAAGACTGAAAGTCTCCTCCTCCTCCTCCTCCTCCTCCTCCTCCTCCTCCTCCTCCTCCCCCTCCTCCTCCACTCCGCCCTCTCTTATAATAATAATCTCATCTCATCATCATCCGCCTCCTCCTCTCCTCCTCCTCCTCCTCCTCCTGCTCCTTCCTCCGGCGCCCGCCTCCTCCTCCTCCTCCTCCTCCTCCTCCTCCTCCTCACACCCGCCTCCTCCTCCTCCTCCTCCTCCCTCCTTCTCCTCCTCCTCCTCCTTCTCCTCCTCCTCCTCCTCCTCCTCCTCCTCCTCCTCCTCCTCCTCCTCCTCCTCCTCCTCCAAGAGGCGCATGTGCGCCCCGTGCTCTGACGATGCCCCGTCGTGGATCTGGCCGTCCGAGGCCGTCGGAGGAGTCGCGCGGGCTGCGCCGTCCCGAGAGGAGGCAGAAGGCAGAAGGCACTGCGGGAGCGCGCCCCCGGTGGCCGAAAGGGTGGGGAGCGCGCTCTGGAGCGAGTTTGGCGGCCTCTCGGGCCGTCTGGGAGCGTCGGGAGCCCGACGAGGCGAGTATGCCTAAGTTCTTTTTTGTTTGTTTGTATATATCGTGGGCCTCCTGGGGCCCTCTTGGGAGACCTCTTGGAATCCTCCTGGGCCGTCCTGGGCTTCCTGGGCCGTCCGAAAGCGATAGCGGCAAACACTTGGACAATCTGGAGGCGTCTCGGGCCATCCTGGACGGTGTTGGGGCCCTCTTTAGAGGCCTCCTAGATGGGGTCGGAGCAGATGGGGTCGAAGCATCGCACCGTATCGCCAATACATCGCCGAGGCATCGGCGATGCATCGGTAATGCATTGGCGACGCATCGGAGATGCCTCGGCGACGTCGGCGCGGAGGAAATCGGACCCCTCATCGAGCCGCATCGCCGATGCATCGGCGATGCGGCGCGATCCTCCGACCCCACCTACCCGGACCCCATCCGGGCGGCCCAGCAGAACCAATTAGGAGGCCTAGACGTTCAGAGGGGGGTCAACAAAGGGCAAGGTGGTCGAGGGCCGCAGGAGGGGGGCCCCACGGTCGGGAGCCCCTGCAGAGGCGCCTCGCCGCGCCGGCCCGGGCGGCACGCTTCATGCCACTGCGGGTGGGTGGCGTGTCGCTCCACTCCGCGGGGCCTAGACTTGTGGATGCCACGACAATGGACACTCTAACAATCCGATCATTGAACTAAAGCTGTGTTCAACATGCATAAAACATGTTCTAGATTATCCCAGTGCGACCTAGGAGTTGGAGCATTTAGAAAGCAACATCTACATCTACACCGACAGCTACATTTACATCTACACCTGCATCTACATCTACACCAACATCAACAGCGAGACTCACATCTACATATACATCTACACCTACATCTACACCTATATCTACATCTACATCTACATCTACATATACACCTACATCCACACCTACACCTACACCTACATATCAATGCGATGCTATGATATGGTATGATACTATGCTATGCTATATTAGACTATGATATGCTATGCTATGATGTCATATTATGCTATATGCAGACATCTAAATGCGATGATATGATAGGCGATGCTATGATATGATATGCTGCGTTGTGCTATGATATGATATGATATGATTTGCTATGCTGCGCTATGATATGCTATGTTATGGTGTGCTATTATGTGCTATGGTATGCTATGCTGCGCTGTGCTATGATAAGCAATGCTATGTGATGCTATGATATGCTATGATATGGTATGCTTGGCTATGTTCGTTTATGCTATGATATGCTGAGCTATGCTATGTTATGTTTGGCTATGATTGGCTATGCTATGCTATGATATGCAGTGCTAATGCTGCGCTGCGTTATGCTGCGCTGCGCTAAGCTAAGCAACGGTAAGCTAAGCTATGCTAAGTTGAGCTAAGCTAAGCTAAGATAGGCTAGGCTAGGCTAAGCTAGCCAGGCTAAGCTAAGCTAAGCTGAGCTAAGCTATGCTAAGTTGAGCTAAGCTAAGCTAAGCTAAGCTAAGCTAGGCTAGTCAAAGCTAAGCTAAGCTAAGCTAAGATGAGATGAGCTAAGCTAAGCTAAGCTAAGCTAAGCTGGGTGAACCCAGGGGGCGCAACTGGGGGAACCGCGGGGCGGATGCCGGGGAACCGCCCGGGGCGAGGAACACTGCCCGGCCCTTTAAACTTATAAAGTAAGAACCCTCCTAGGCAGAGCCTAGGTAGGGAACATGTCTCACACATGTGCTTCACATGTCTAAAAACATGCTTGAGGCATGGTTCAGATATCTGGAAATGATTTGGCAGCATGCTTCCTCTCCATGACTCGACTTCCACAAGCCCAGACTCTTGGGCCGTCTTTCAGGAGCGGCCACGAGGGGGGTGTCCAAGAGGGGGAGAGGGGGTGCAAATCCTGGCCGGCGGCATGTGCGCGGCCCAGCGGGGGGGCCGGGGACGTCATGACATAAGAAGAGGCGCCATGAGATCTTGGGAGATGTCATGGCCCCCGCCATGATATCCACCCCCCCCCAGTCATCACCCCCCTCTTTGCCGCCCCCGACGTCCTGGAGCGCCCCCTCGGCCTGGCGGGGCCCCGGGAGCCTCCGCGCGGGCACGGGCAGTGGCCCTGCCCGGCACGCCGCGGGCGCAGGGCTGCCAGGCAGCAGAGAGGCGTGCGGGCCCGTGGCCTTCTCGCGCGGGGGGGGGGCTCGAGAAGCGGCCTTTATGAGGCCTCTCGAAGGCACCTTGGGGCCATCGTGGAACCTGCTGGGCGTCTTCGGAGTGTCGTGTAGGGGAACAAAAAGTGACATAAACATAAAAACTCGGAGGTCCGCGCGGACTTCTCGGATCGGCACCAGGGCTCCCCAGCGGCGCCTCCGGCGCCGCCCCTCGCGCGCTCCGCGCGCCAGGGAGGGGGGTCCAGCGCCGGTCCGAGAAATCCGCGCGGAGCTCCGAGTTTTTATGTTTATGTCACTTTTTGTTCCCCTATTCTGGGCGTCTTCGGAGTGTCGTGGGCTCACCCAGGTCCCTCGTGCTTAGAGCGTCCTGGGCTGACGTCGGGGGCCCTGGAGCTGGCCCACGGCGTCGATGTTCGGCGCGCGGTTCGCCCAAGATGGTAGCACGGATGGCCTTGGCCTCCGGCATCGCATCCCGCACCTCGCTGAGCAACTGTCGCCATTGGGCTCCAGCTTCACAATCAAAAGATCGCTGATCATCGGCAGGACCCGCTTTCACTGGACGCCTCTATCAGAAGTGCTGATCTCAGTGCTGTAGCCAACCAGGGCGGATCCACGTCATGGTATCCGAAGCGGCTTCCTGCGCGACGGAACACTGCTGCCAAATTCAAAATACGGATGTTCGCCCACGTGATCACAATGGTTCCCCAGCAGGTTCCCACACGGACAGTGCCCCGCAAGACGCTCGAAAACGGGAAAGGCCGATACAACGATAGCAGGACAAGCCTGCCAAGTTGCGAGACGACCTCTCATACGCCGTGATGCATAAATTGTAACTGATATCGTTCGTCTCCACATGGCGTTCCCGCATCACTCTGAGCAGCGAAAATGCATGCCGCCACTGGCTGCATCTCTCACTCGCGCAGATCGCAGCGTTGTAGCTGACTACGGGGGATCCGTGGACTTACGTCCACGACAGCTGACTCGCACGCAGGGGTGAAAATCGCTGGCCTGCTGTTATGCTTGCGCGCTGCCCTGCGCGCATGGCTGCTAGCCTGCTGGCCAAGCAACTTCCTGCCATGCGTTCCTGTTTCCATGCTGGCCAGCGTGCCTAACACCATTCCTGGCGGCGTGCCTGCGAACGTGCTTGGGTTGCGTCGTCGCTTGCTCGCCTGCTCGCTGGCAGCCGAGATCAAAGGGTAATGTTGGCCACCGCCGCGGAAGGGCAGTGCGCGGGCGGGGCAGCCACGAGGCCCGAATACTTCAGGCCGCCGCTTCGGCGCGTGGTCGGCGGGGGGGGCGTCGGGTGCGGGGTGCGGGAAGCTTGAGGGTGGGCATGCCGAGCATGCTGAGCACGCGGGTGCGAGCATGCTGGGCATGTGGTGCGGTCACGGTTGGTGCGTGTGTGTGTGTGCGCTCGGCTCTCGGCAGAGTAAAGCGGAGGTGTGGGTGCGCTGGCTTGCGGTGCAACGTGGCTTGTGCAGCTGGCGATTCCGTGCGTCGGTCTCTCGTGCGTGTTGAGCGCTGCCGCGGGGCTGCTTGGCTGTAGGGTTCGGTGCTGCGTGGCGGGCGCGAGGTGCAAGGTTTCCCGTTTTGTTCCGACGCCGAGGAGAAAGGTAGAGAAAGAGAGAGAGAGAGAGAGAGGCGAGGAGGGATGGAGGGATGAGGGAGAGCCAGTCACGAGGGGGCGGCAGACGCCAGTAGCCAAGAGGGAGAAGCGAGGGGCCATGGGAGCGGTGAGCGGAGCGAGGAGGAGTGAGAAGAAAGGAGCCAGGAGCGAAGAGAGAGAGTCGAGGAGCGCGGAGAGAGCGGCAGAGGGCGAAAAGCGAGGAGCAGGGAACGAGAAGGGAAGCATGAGAAGAGGCCAGCACACAAACGTCTCAATGGCCTCGGTGCGCGTGCGGTCGAACATCTGGTCTCCTCTTGGGTCGCTCTCTGGGCTCTCTTGGGTGCCTGGCGTGGATCCAGAGCTCTCTAAGGGGTTTTCCCTCGGACGCCTCTTGGAGGCGGCTTGGGGGGTGTCTTGGGGTTTCTCGGGGGCCTCTTGGGGGCGTCTGCAGTCTGCGTCGGGCCTCTTTAAAGCCCCTCTGGGGCCTCTTGGGGGTCTCCCGCGGCTTCTGGGGCGTGGAACGCCTCTCGGGGGCCGCTCGAGGGCATGCTGGCGGTATGCCGGCGGTTTCGGGGGTCAGCTGGGGGTGGAGGGCGCGAAATGTCAGGCCGAGCTCCCCCTCCTGGGGCCGTCATGAGACGTCTTGGGGGCCTGCTGGGCCGTCTTGAAGCAATATTTGGGGCCTCTTGGGCCGTCTTGGAGTGTCCGAAGCGAGGTCGCCGAAGTCCTTCAAGAACAATAAAGCAATCCCACCAGCCCTCTGGGCGTCGGTGGTTTAAGGCGTTTCCTCTTCCACCCCTCCTTCCCTTTCGGGGAAGGGTTTATCACTATTCCCTATTCATATACACCCCCTCCCCCAGGCGACAGGGAGCCAACCCGAGTCAATGAGGGCACCCCCCCACCATCCCTTGCAAAAAAACAATACAAAGCACACTCTGACTGCAAATTCGGAGCATGCGCAGCGAACCCGATGCGGCCTCCCCCCATCCCTATCAAAAACCAATACAGAGTACATTTGGCGGCGGCGGCGGCGGCGGCGGCTGCAGCGGGGGCAGCGGCTGCGGCAGTTGCGGCGGTGGCGGCGGCGGTGGCGGCGGCGGCGGTGGCGGCGGCGGCGGCGGCAGCGGTTGCAGCGGCAGCGGCTGCAGCGGCAGCGGCTGCGGCGGCTGCAATTCGGCTGCGGCGGCGGCGGCAATTCGGCAGCGGGGGCGGCCGCGGCGGCGGCGGCGGGCGGCGCGGTGGCAGAGCGGCGGCGGACAGCGGCGGCGGCGGCGGCGGCGGCGCGGCGGCGGCGGCGGCGGGCGGCAGCTGCGGCGGTGGAGGCGGCGGCGGCGGCGGACTGGCCCCCAGTAGCTGCCCATCCAAAGACGACTGCTGCAGATGTTGCGGCTCGGGCCAGGCTCGGGTGCTACGTATGTGTTGGGAGGGCGGGCGGGAGTGAGCGGGACGGCTTGCGGGCGGGGAGGGCGTCTTGACCCCTCCCCCTACCCCCTCCCCATGGAGCTGGACAAGGGGTTGCGCGAGTCGTCGGAGCGTCTAAGACGGCCTCGGCGAGGAAGCCAAAATCAGTTGTTTTACATAAGTGTTGGCCCCATTTTGGCCTCCTGAGGGGGGCCTTAATTAGGGACCCCCCCTCCTGTAATCGATCTCACCCAAGATGGCCCACAGATGGCCCCCAAGGCTCCCAAGGGTGCCCCAAGAGGGCCCCTAGAGGTGGCCAGGAAGCCCCAAGAGGCCCCCAGGATGCCCCCAAGAGGTTCCCAAGAGACCTCCAAGAGGCCCCAAGAGACCCCCCAGAGGCACCCAAGATGCTCCAAGAGGCTTCGGCGAGAATGCCAAATCATTGATTCCACTAAGGTTTTGGCAACATGTTGGCCTCTTGGGGGGCACTGATTAAGATGACTCCAAGAGCGCCTGGGAGAGCCCAAGATGACCTCCAAGATGGCTCAAGATATCCCAAGATGTCTCATAATGGCTCCCACGATGCTCCAAGATGCCCCAAAGCTCCCCCGGGAGGCCCCGAAGAGGCCAAAACCTTAGGAAAGTCTATGTGTTTGGTTTTCTCGCCTTTTCGCTTCCGATGGCCATCCGAAGCCTCAAGATGGCTCCAAGATGGCCCAAGAAGGCTCCAAGAGAGGCTCAAGAGAGCCCCAAGACGGCCCCAAGAGCGCCTAAGAGCGCTCCAAGAGCGCCCCAAAAGCACCCCAAGAGGCGATTGCTTGGGCTCCCGAGGGGCAACGCTACCTAATGCTCGCTGCGTGTTTGGTCGATGTCCTCCAAGATGGCCCCAAGAGCGCTCCCAAGGCTCCCAAGAGCGCTTCAAGAGGGCCCCATGAGGCGCCCAGGAGGCCCCAACAGGCGCCCAAGAGGCCTCCAAGATGCTCCCAAGAGACGCTCTCCGAGGCACCCAAGACGCTCCAAGAGGCCTCCACTGGAGAACCCTTCCTCTGTGTGCTGCCCACTTCCCTGATCGAGGCAATTCCTCTGGGCATCGTTTCTGGATGGGTTGGTGGGGTTACTTTTTCGCAGGCGGAAGCGCCAGCGGCGGGAGGTCGCGGGCGGGCTACGGCCGCGACTAAATTGCCAAGCGCGCGCGGGGGCCGCGGATCAGGCGGCGAGGGAGGCAGCACCCAGGGCGGCAGCCGACGTGCAATCCAGGGAGACTGAGACAGCCCCAGGACGGGCATGCAACGGTGCATCCAACGAGCCTGAGGACAGGCACCGAGGAGACCCAGAGCAGCCAAAATGGCGCGTGAGGCGTTCCCAGAAGTCCAGATGCGAACAGAAAGGAACGTTCCCGAGGACATCGCTCCAGGGAGTCTGACGGGTACCACAGACTGACTGGGGACATAAGTCCAGCGGAAAATTCTGGCGGAGACACGAAGTCGCGACGCCAGAACGCGCATCCAAGGTGTGGAGCGTGACAGGAGAACCTTCCACAACTGAGATGCGTCAAGAATTGACGATTTTGGCCTCTCGGGGCCTTCTCGGCTGCGGGGCCTCTTGGAGATATCTGGGACCCTGTTGAGCCGTCGGAAAACCATGTTAGCGACCCCGTGGACCGCCTGGAGGCGTCCAGGGCCATCTTGGACCGTCTTGAGACCCTCCTGGGACGTCTTGGAGCGGTCAGGTCATTTATTCTGGCTCTTGGTGCCCAGAGGAGGCTGGAAAAATGACACGCAGGAGGCGCTGAACTGTAGAAGGATGACCTTGGGTTCCAGCTGCGCCTCCCACATCTCGCTCATCAGCGCCAAAGCCCGCTGCCACTGCCGGCCCGTCTTGAGGCCCTCTTGCGGGCCTCGTCGGTGGTCTTGGAGCGGTCTTGGGGACCTCTTGGGCCGTCTTGGAGCGCAGGGACGGCGAAAAGGGGAGAATGCGGAAAACATCGAAAACACAATGGAAATCGACGATTTCTCCCGCTCGGGGCCCTGCTGGGAAGCCTCTTGGGAGGCCTCTTGGGGCATTTTGGCCGCCTCTGGGGCCGTCTTGGCCCAATCTTCGGCGTCTTGGGCCCATCTTGGGGCGTCCCGGAGCCTTCTGGGGCCTTCTTGGGGGCCTCTTGAGGCCCTCTTGGCGCGTCTTGGGCCCATCTTGGGGCGTCCCAGGGCCCTCTGGGGCCGTCTTGGGGGCCTCTTGGGGCCCTCTTGGCGTGTCTTGGGCCTGCTACGCCATTTGACCAGAATCGCCCTTCTCGCACGCGCGGGGCCCTGCATTGTAGTAGGGCCCTCTCGGGCCGTCTTGGGTGCCTCTTGGGCCGTCTTGGGGCCGTCTGAGACCCGCCTCGGCGCCTCTTGGGCTGTCTTGGGCCGTCTTGGGCCGCTCCTGGGGCCGTCTTGGGTGCCTCTTGGGCCGTCTTGGGCGCCTCCTGGGCCGTCCTGGCGCCGTCCTGGGGCGTCTTGGGACCGTCTTGGGGCCCTACTGGCCCGTCTTGGGGCTCTCTTGGGGTCCTCTTCGGCCGTTTTGGAGCGGTCGGGGGGCTTCTTGGGCCGTCTTGGAGCGTCGGGAAGCCGAAGAGGCGAGGAGGCCGAAAACATAGAAAAACACAATAGAAATCGACGTTTTCTGTCGCTCGGGGCCCTCTTGGGAGGCCTCTTGGGAGGCCTCTTCGGGCGTCTTGGACGCCTCTTGGGCCGTCTGGGGCGAATCTCGGGCGTCTTGGGCCCATCTTTAAGCGTGCCGGGGCTCTCCGGGGCCGTCTTGGGGGCTTCGGGGGGCCCTCTCGACATGTCCTGGAGCCTGCCTGGGCGGCCTGGGGCGGCCCGGGGCCAGCCCGGGGCGGTTTCGGTGCATTGGGGCCTGCGCCCTTCCCGCACGCACTGGGCCCTGCAATGTAGTA